GAGTCAAGTCTAGTCACAGTTGATCTTCCTGAGTCGAGTCTAGTCACAGTTGATCTTCCTGAGTCGAGTCTAGTCACAGTTGATCTTCCTGAGTCGAGTCTAGTCACAGTTGATCTTCCTGAGTCGAGTCTAGTCACAGTTGATCTTCCTGAGTCGAGTCTAGTCACAGTTGATCTTCCTGAGTCGAGTCTAGTCACAGTTGATCGTCATGAGTCAAATCGAGTCACAGTTTATTATGCTGAGTCTGGTCAAGTCACGGCTGATATTTATGAGTCTAGTCACAACTGATCTTCATGAGTCAAGTCAAGTCACAACTGATCTTCATGAGTCAAGTCAAGTCACAACTGATCTTCATGAGTCAAGTCAAGTCACAACTGATCTTCATGAGTCAAGTCAAGTCACAACTGATCTTCATGAGTCAAGTCAAGTCACAACTGATCTTCATGAGTCAAGTCAAGTCACAACTGATCTTCATGAGTCAAGTCAAGTCACAACTGATCTTCATGAGTCAAGTCAAGTCACAACTGATCTTCATGAGTCAAGTCAAGTCGCAGTTGATCGTCATGAGTCCAGTCAAGTCTCAGCTGAGCTGCCAGAGCCTCGTTACGTCACAGCTGTCTCACCATGTCTTGTCTGTCACACCCAGATTCTCAGGGTCAGCCCTTCGGTATCCCAGTCTGGTATCCAGTGTGAGGGATGCACCGCTGGTGTCTGCACGCACAGCTGGTATCCCCAAACCCACTCACTCTAACCCTTCTATTCATGAACTCATTCCCCTGTCTGCAGCACTTCCCATATGGGGGGTTGCTTTATGGTGTATCTGGGCCGCGTACTCCACCGCCGATTTGCTAGAGGCAGCAGCACCGGCTACAACATCTCCAGAGGTGGTGGCTTACGCTGCAGAACCTCTCGAGGTAGCGGTGTCCACTGCTGTGCTCCCAGAGGCCATGGTGTCGACTGTAGTTTCTTCGGAGGTGGCGGCACAGGTTGCAGAACCTCCCGAGATGGCGACACTTGCCTCAGTTCCTTGTGTGGTGGTGGCGCCCAGCAACGCACTTTCTGCCTGTTCTGTTCTGGCCAAGGAGGCCGTCTATGAACTCTCTGCCTGTTCTGTTCCGGCCAAGGAGGCCACCTAGGAACTCTCTGCCTGTCCTGTTCCGTCCGCCGGCTCTGCCTCAGTCCCTGGTCTCTCCTATCCTTGGACCTGGCCCTCCGTCCCTCCCCCTGTTCCGCCTCCACTCCACCACCCACCTGGATCGTTTAGTGTTTGGAGCATCTGGAAGCTGCTCCTTGGGGGGGCGAGTCTCCGTGTTTTCCTTGTTTTGCCTTGCCTGTTTTTGCGTTTCTGATCTTTGCCTGTTTTCCTGGATTTCTCCCTCTCGTCTCGCCCCTGTGATTCTGTCTGCCGATCGGTGACCTACGCTAGCCCTAGGACTATTCTTGTGTTTTTGCCCGCCATATACCTGTTTGCCATTGTTCGACCCTGCCTGTTATACCACATCTCTTTTAATAAAAGCTTGCAGATGGATCCACACGTCTCACGTCTTGTCAGCCCCGTTACACATAGCCACATGATATCGCTCTATATCAGCAAGGATGTGATTACCTGCAGCATTCGGCCGGCATCTTCGTGTCTACGGCTGCTCGTGTGATATTAATTATATATATATATTAACACTTGAGTTGTATATTGTTTATACAACTCAAGTGTTTTGAAGCCATAAAAAATAGCATGTGAGGAATAAACCAGAATTTAGGTAATTATTCGCCAAATATCTTAATATAAAAAAAAGCCATATGGACTTGTTCTTTATTAAGCTCAACCTAGAAAAGATAAAAATCCTTACGAAATGACTTTTCTCTCTGTGTGTGTAGCTGTATCTATCTTTGTGTGTATTTTATTACCTGGGGATCGACTTGAGATTGTCCCCTGTGTGAAACGCATCAAATCTGACAGCTCTATCACAAAATTCTCATGGCCCCTTGTCTCCTCCAATCTCCCACCTTTTATTCCTCTGCCCTCCTTTTCTTTGTTTTCCTCAGTGTTGATTTTCTGTGTGAATAAGCAAGTGCCTTTGCTTGGCAGCCTGTAAGTCCGCCATCACTGGACCGGATAAATTCTCTGTGTGTATTTGCTCCTCCATGAAATTGAGAGTCAGATTTATTAGTTTATGTTTGTCTTTGTCTCTCTTGGTGTGCGGACGTGTCCATTACATGCGGCAGTGAGAAGTGTGTGTTATTCTGGAGCTTTTGTATGTGCGTCAGTGCTGATGAGCTTTCAGTGTCCTCGATTAGAGTTTCCTCTCCATTTCACCACCTCTGAGACTCAGCAGGTCTCTGTGAACCTGTCCGACCCCTTTCATTTTCCCAGCTAACACTGCTCTCATACATCTGTGTGCTCTTTAGGGTCTTTAAAAATAACAGAAAATGACACCCACACCTATTACCAACGTTTACTATCCAACCTGACAGAACTGGAGAGGCTCTGCAAGGAGGAATGGCAGAGGATCCCTAAATCCAGGTGTGAAAAACTTGTTGGGTCTTTCCCAAAAAGACTCATGGCTGTATTCGATCAAAAGGGTGCTTCTACTAAATACTGAGCAAAGGGTCTGAATACTTAGGACCATGTGATATTTCAGTTTTTCTTTTTTAATAAATCTGCAAAAATTTCAACAATTCTGTGTTTTTCTGTCAATATGGGGTGCTGTGTGTACATTAATGAGGAAAAAAATTTAACTTAAATGATTTTAGCAAATGGCTGCAATATAACAAAGAGTGAAAAATTTAAGGGGGTCTGAATACTTTCCGTACCCACTGTATATACATCACAGAGATAGGCTTCGCAGAGAGGGTTATTAATGTTTTTCTTTCTTTTTTCAGTTAGCAATCAAACGAAACCCTGCCTGGAAAACAAAGCAACATCATTAGATTGTCATTATTATAAATGAAAAAGGCGCTAAGGACAACAAATGAAAGCCAAAAGGTTGGTGGTCATTTACGTGTGCCATGCAGGAAATTAATTAAAAAATGTTTGTCTGCTATAAAGAAATGTAAATGCTTGAGCTTAAATTAAACTACACAGATGCAATAATGACTGAGGACTGAGAAAAAATAAGACCAAACAATATTCCAATGCTCTTGGTCATCAGGAAGCATAATTAAGTAAAGGGGGAGCACTAGTGCCCTTGTGACTGAAAACACAAAAAGGGAACATGTGTCATCTCCTAATTAATTTCCAATTTCCTCTCAGATCTGACCACGATTAATTGCTAGGCAACAACTTCGGAGGCAAGTTCAATTGTTTTTTAAAAAAAATCCAATTAAAATGTGATACTATCATTTAGGGCTATTTTATTGCGCTGCGTTTCATATATCAATGAGAAGCGGCAAGGGAAAAGGTAGCAGGAGTTCAAGGAATGAAAAACTTGTATTTCAATCAGAGAGAATGAGGAGGATGCTAAAAGACCCTTTGCCCTTCTGAAGAAAGTAGCACCATAGAATGAAATAATGAAAAAAGCATGCGTGTCAATAATTATAGTACTATACAGTATTATTATTATTATTACACATATATCTGCATTACATGCTTTAATTGCTGTGACAATGCTAATTATAAAAATTATTTAATTATTTTATACAAAAATTTCATAATAAATATATATATATATATATATATATATATATATATATTGTTTTTATACATTGTTACAATAAATAATAATAATATGGTATTTTCCTTTATCCTGTTAATACTATTCTATTCTATACTATTGCTGCTAAAATTTTTTATAGAAAACACAGCATGGAATGTGAGTATGTATACAACATGCCACATAAAATGTAATGCGAGATGATTACAATGCATGCATTACTTGTGCTTGCAGTGAACATAAATATTGAGTGAGCTACAGTAAAGTGCATGTTTAATTTGGGATTCCATTCATTGTTTCTTTAAATCCAAAGCTTATCATTATACAGCTCTCTGGAAAACTTGATTTCGATTGGTCAATAATGCAAGTGAATGCGCTCGTACATTACATACCATTAACCTGCAGGGTGTGCATTTGGAAAAGCTGCTCGTAGCCGTCTGCATGGCAGGTGTAGTTGCCCATGTGTGTAGTGGTCACCTTGGTAATGTACAGTGATCCATCATCTCCGAAATCCTGTTAAAAATACACAAAACTACCATCACCATAACCTTACAGAGTGAAAGATTACGACACACAAGTGCAAACAGCAGCCCAGAGCTGGAAATGTCAGAGTGTAGTCCTATAATCAACGTTAGCTTGAATGCATTAATCTGCAAATAAAAATGTGGAAGCGCAATCAAGCATCCAGATACTGGACTGCAGAGAGAAAAGAGAGCAGCTTGCGGTGAAACTCTGTGACACAGTGAAAAGAAAACACAGAGGGACTGAGAAAGAAAGAAAAGGAGAATGAGGACAGATAAAAAACAGGGTAATCAATAGGAGCAGATTGCAGCGGACATTTGCATCAGTTCTGCTGCAGGCCGGCATTAAAGCTTTTAAACACACACCATTTATTCTCCACACACTGCTTCTGAGAAAAACAACAAACTTAAAGGTACAGTTCAGCCAAAAATCTACATTTTGTCATCATTTACTCACCCAGCCGTTTTGTGTATGGCTTTCTTACTTCTGCAGAACACAAAGGAATGAAAATAATTGTTTTTGTTCAAATAATGAAACTGACTTTCATTGCATGGACCCAAAAAAATAAAAAAACCTTTGTGCTCTGCAGATGAAAAAAAGTCATACAGGTTTTAAATCACATGAGAGTGAATAAATAATAGAATTTTAATTTTTTGATGAACTCCCTCTTTAAAATGGGCGCAAGAGAGAAATTGAGCCACAGTCGTTAGAGAAATGGAAATTAGGTTTACCAACTGATAAAAGAATTATATGACAAACAGACCAAATGCAAATAGTTGCATATGTTACTTGCTAAGAAAAGCCCACAAATGAATATACTGTACACTACTGTCTGGGATTACATGAAGAATAAAAAAACAAAAAAACAGAGACAGACTAAATCCAGAAGAACTGTAGCAACATCTACAAGACGGTTCAAGAATCCTACCTGCAAAGCTACCTGAAAAACACCTAGGGCAAAACCTGCTTTGAACGCAATGGGTGGTCACACAAAATGTTGATTTGATTTAGTTAACTGAAGTTAATCGATAAAGAAAATTTATGGCATTATTTTTTTAAAGCACCCTAACTTCACAGCATTTTTACACAAGTGCCTAAAACTTTTTGCAGTAATGTAGCTTTGTAGGAAGGTTTCTTCAAGTGTCTTGGAGACGTCGCCAAAGCTCTTCTGGATTTAGTCTGTCTCAGTTTTTTTCTGATTCTTCATGTCATTCCAGACAGACTGGAGGATGATGATATGTGGCTGTTGTCAGGCTTCTTCTGCATACTGGATTATTACAATTAATGGCAAAAGGAATGTCTGGAAATGTAAACTGATATTTCCTACTGACACACTACAGCAAAAGATAGAAATAACTGACATTAAACCATTTTTGTTGATGAAAATACTAATGGCCTAAGACTTTTGCGCAGTAGAGTAATTCAAAGGCATTGTGGACACTATTGTGCCAGACAAAAGTATTTACTAGACATTAAAACTACTGATTCTACATAGCCACATAGTTCTAACAGCACAATCAATGAAGAACGGCAGTTTGGCTGTGTTTTAATATGCACCAGTAAGGATGTAAAACTCTGCTCACTACAGGCCATGACCTTGATCATGCAAATAACCAAGCCCCTTTCCTCACAATGTGCTCTTAATGAGTAAAAACAGCAGTACAGAAAAAGTGCATTTTAAAAAGAGGCAAAACAGAGGAGCATCTGAATATGAAATAAAATCAGATCGCACCAGTCATTTGAAAGTCTAATGATAAGAATAGAAAAAAGAAGAATCGGTGCGTAAAGCAACAAGCAGTATCAGAGACAACAAAGGCTGAAGAGAAACACCATCAATGTCCAAACAAAACCCCATGAAGCTAATGTATTCAAACGCCATTGTTTTTACAAGGTCAACTGGCCTTTCCTGACATCCTGATGCCCAGGAACGCACAAGTATTCCTTCAAGGACGATTCAAATGGTTCTGATAAAATATGTTAATTTTGATAGGCTGCAGAATGATGCAGTACGACAGTAAAAACTTGGACACTCACATGTATGCACACAAAGCCATAGTGAATGTGGGAGAGATAAACTGTAAATAGTGATGCTACTAACTTACACTTATAAGTAGCATAACAATAACTCAGTTTTAATGAGTGCCAATGTAGAATGATGGTACATTACTGGTTTTAACGTGACATTATTTTATGCATGGGACTTGAGGCAAACAAACTGAGGCAATAATCACACGCACTCTCCAAAACAACTCTCACTCTCAAGTTCTGTTGGGAAGTGTGATTCATCTATAGCAATCGGTTAATTCAGATTTGAACTGATTCACAAAAAAGACTAATTTGATTGCCTGCGTGTGATGTTTTACGTGATTTTACAGCTATATATTTGTATACCTAATACAATTGTATTTAGTTTAAATCTATCAGTTTCATATCTAACATATTTCCCCAAAGCTGGTTTACACTACAGTGTATTATATAGAGGATATGATATATGGCAAACCACTGCAAAATATAAGGCCAGGATATGGCATCGTAACCCTCATGGTAAATGAACAGAGAAATAGGATGTCTTGAAGAAGCGCTGAAGAGTGCAAACCACCAGCTCCTTCATTTCCCTTGACTCTGAACCAGCTCAATAGTGCAGGCACCTTAACCTGGTCTTCAGATTTGTGAGTCACCGAGGGTTAATTGTGGTGTTAGAAGTGATTAGCTTCAGGGTTTTCTGACTGTAGCAGCTTAAAGGCACGCAGACCCAAAAACATGAACCTACCTGAGAGGGGATCTGCAGAAAAGAAATCAAACCAAACAACAACATTTCAGTTTCAAGAATGATTTTAGGTGCAAAAGTGAAAATGTCAACATGCAAAGGTAACTGCTGGTTTTTCTATTTTATAATTTATCTTTTTGATTAATGTTGAAAGGAAAATATACAATCTAGATGATTACGGTGTGAGACTATTTGCTAGCTCAAACAATTCTTCCTGCTGATCCTTAATAATGCTTTACCCACAGTTTCTACTTTAGTCTCTAAATCCTCTTCTTTTGTTTTATGTATTCAGTGAGCGGTTCATAATAATGGCCATGTGGTGGTCTCAGTTGCGTCCCATGACGCAACGCTCAGCAAGATCCCTCATTTTCAGCACATTAATGTGCGGAAGATGCTTCCTTTGATGAAGACGGGATTCACTAAACTTAATGAAATTACCTCTAACTATACTTGGATTAATGAGGTTCTCCCTGACAGCAGACTTAAAAAGAAAGAAAGAAAGAAAATATTTGTAATAAAAATAAAATTCAGCGAATTTAATATTACCCCCATCTATACTTGGAAAATAAAATTTAATAATATGATATAAAATTAAATTAAATAAAGTTCATGCAACATGGCTTGACATGACATGATGACATTAAGTGCTCTGGGAATACAGGATACCTCAAAGGTACGTGAATGCTTTTCTGCATCTTCTGGTTTAGTTCAGCCAGCTCTGCTGTCCTAAAGGATTGTCTGTGGCTTTTAGAGCTGCTGACATTTAAACAAGCTTTCCTCTGAGTTTTTAGATTATTCATGTAGATGCTACTGTACCATCTTGTGTGCATGTCCCGTCTGGCTTATATTGTGGTAGGGAGTGCAGGTTGAAGGTTCTAGAGATGGATCTTGGCAGCCACAGGCTCCTTCCTCATTTAAAGGAATAGTTCACCCAAAAATGAAAATTACCCCATGATTTACTCACCCTCAAGCCATCCTAGGTGTATATGACATTCTTCTTTCAGACGGATACAATGCGAATACATCCGCTGGACGCCACTCTCTTGTGAACGTGCGTACGACAGTTAGCGGAAGCTAGAGATTAAGGTTTATAAAGTTGTAAATATGGATATTTTTCTTACACAAACGCATCACGTCACTTCAGAAGGCCTTTATTAACCCCCCGAAGCCATGTAGACTTCTTTTATAATGGATGGGTGCAATTTTTTGGACTTCAAATTTTGGGCTACCATCCACTCCCATTATAAAGCATGGATTAGCCTGGACATTATTTAATATAACTCAGATTGTATTCGTCTGAAAGAAGAATGTCATATACACCTAGGATGGCTTGAGGGTGAGTAAAGCATGGGGTAATTTTCATTTTTGGGTTAACTATCCTTTTAAAGGCCTCATAAACTTTTAAAATATTAAGGATGACACAGAGGCTAGTGTTGACTCAATTGACAAATACCCCAGTGAGCCAAGCATTTGGCTGGTCAAATATACACACTCTCAATAGAAATAAATGTACACTGTAACAAAGAAGAATTAACAGATTTACTCGACATTATATTCTGCAAATAAAAAATTAAATAAAAAAAATAATAAAATGAAAGGACAATGGAAATGTTCATGATAATATATTAAGATAAACAGTAGAGTTTTGGGAATACAAATGTCCTCTTTGGCAGACAGCAAGCTCACAAACTTATATCCATAAACATATTGAACACTTTAATGAAATTGTATTCATTTACATTAGACAGACTCAATTTCTTCCCTGCAGCATATCCCCAGAGAGACATACCATATTCTCTATGCTGCTTTCATTTAAGTACTTCTGTTTAATTCTTTTCTTAACCGTTCTTTTCGTCTTAAATGACTTCATTTCATATTGGTTCAATCAAGCATCATAAAAGACTGCCAAACCCATTTAGTTTCTCTTGAGTATCTTCTCTCTCAATCCTCATTTACACTAATGTGCTTTCTATTGAGTTGTAGCCGTGTTGAGTGATGTTGCATTACAGCGTGAACATTTAAAACATCACTCATGTCTCAATTTGGTATCATGGGGCCATATTCCATCAGCAAGGCTTAGTTAAGGTTACTGAAATAAATATATATTACAGCTGGAGCGTGGCACAACTGAGACCTTGCTCTTATTGTGTTATTTATGTTTTTTTTTTTGTGAAATCCCACCTGGCTTCCATCTCTTTCTTGAATGTTAGCTAAATCGAGTTGAAGGAACATTAAGAGAGATGAAGTGAATTAGATTGAACATCGAATGATCCCACACCATGTCAAATCATTTCAAAACAAGGCTGCTGTTGAACATGCATTTGCACTTGTGTGTCAATTTATTGGTTTGAAAGTGCCACCACTTGCTTTCAGCATCTTTAAAAAGGTAGCTGATTGAAATGCTTTCCAGATGGCTTGTACATACACACACTCGACCGGGTAAAAGCAGAGTGTGATGGAGACGAAATAAGGTGAAAGGGGTGCGTCACTCACGTTAATGTCCTCCAGCTCCAGCATGTTGAGGGCATGGTTGTTGCGTCTCCAGATGATTGGCGGCAGCTGGTCTCCTGTGATGGCACATGTGAGCACGACACTCTGACCCACTGTTACCGTGGTGACGCTCAGTTTCTGGTCTTCAGGAAGGCTGAGCTGATAGACCTCTGAGAAACAACCGATAAAGAGTGGGTTAATATCAGCTATTTTTGTTCACAAAAAATTATTTGATATTTCAACAGCGCACCAGCTACTTTGACTACCTGTAAGAACATCAAATTGTTCTCAGATGCCACATTACTGGTGTGAATATCACTTCCTGTGACACCTAGCACTTCGTTAAAGCAATGAACTGTACTTGCTCTAGACACACACACACACACACACACACACTTTGTGTTGTGTTTCCATGTTTTATGGGGACATTCCATAGGCGTAATGGTTTTTATACTGTACAAACTGTATGTGCACACACAGACAGACAGACAGACAGACAGACAGACAGACAGACAGACAGACAGACAGACAGACAGACAGACAGACAGAGACAGCCTCTTGAGTCGGATCTCTTGTTATTTGGATGAAAAAAAAAATAGAACAGCATATCAAAGGTCACGTTTTTTCACATTTAAAGCCACATTTAGTCTGGGCTAAATACGGCAAATTAAGTTTTTAAATATTCTCAAAAGCCATGTTTTGCTAAGATCTCGATTAAAGGCTAATTGCCCAAATAGCCACATGTGAAAATGGGTCATATACCCATTTTTAAAAGAGGCTTTTGCATGTTTTTAAATGATGATTTAATTGTGACTATTAAAGGATAGAACATGTATTTAAAAAAAAACATATATATATATATATTATATAGTAATATTAGAGCTGTTCATTTAAACCACTAATTAAAGTTGGCATTTGCTGACGTTATCAAGTTTTGCTTTTGATTTTATACAGTACACTCTCAACACTCAAATAAATCTTAAATAAAATAACATATATTAGACGAAAAAAGTGTAAATAAATAAATACAAATAAATAAATAAATAAATGTTGCCTTTGCAACAAACTGAAATAAGTTTAAGTGATGAAATTACTAAAATTAAAAAATACTAAAGCTATACAAAAATAAATAAAATACAAACACACACACACACTTAATTTATACATATGTATTTATACATATATAAATTCAATTCTAAATTTAAAATATGAATAAACACTATTAATAAATATAATTATGTTGGGAAGCATGCATGTAATGCCTTAAAATCCTCCCTACATAGGCAGCTCACTAGATTTAAAAAAAGATCATGCACCCAACAAGCTTTTGAGTTTTCTGGCTCTGAAATGCCACCAACCTCCTTTCTCATATACAAACAAACACCTGGAGCGGGACAAGGATAGCAAACAAACCCCTGACCCCCAAATCTATTTATGAGCCCCATCAATCAGCTGTGATGCTTCCATGAATCTGACAAGCATCCAATACAGCTCAAGCCGCTGTACTGCCCAAGGTAAGCGCTGAGATGGCTTTACAATCTGACTCATAGCTTCATAACACTCTTTATAATGATGGTGATAGGCTTTGAGCTGCTTTAAGCATGCGTCTCCTGATAGTTTCACTTAGTTTTGAAATTAAGATTTTAATGACAGTAGAAAATAACGGCTGCTCCTACGAGCCTTTCAGAAGAAACGCCAACCATACACGACAGTTCATTATGACAGCTTCTTTTCAACTAAAAACTATTCAACTTAACATCTAATTTGAATATAATTATCTCCTCAGCCAAGACTCAACAGTGTCATTCAGTCATAAATAGGATAGCTGTTAAAAGATCCTCACATATAATTTCTCAGTTTTTATAAAGTATAAAAGGAATAACAGAGCCAGGTGCCAAACATTTCTGGTGATCTAATTACGGTAAAGTCTCTTCATTTGCTTTTCAGTGGAGCTGTACCCTGACCTTTTGGGTTAACTGAGGCCACCTGCTCATAAATCAGCGACCAGCCTTTAAATGAGAGAGATCAGAAAAATGTCAAAATGAGGTTGCAAAAAGGAAAAACTTCAACACTCAGTAACTGTCTATCTACTAACTTAACTAAATTTTCCAGTAGCATCTAAAAAAAAAAAAAAAACACAATCTGAGTGATTCTTTGTTTGTTATTAAAGGGATAGTTCACCCCAAAATTTTATGTTTATCTGCTTACCCCCAGGGCATCCAAGATGTAGGTGACTTTGTTTCTTCAGTAGAACACAAACAAAGATTTTTAACTCAAACCGTTGCAGTCTGTCAGTCATATAATGTAAGTGAATAGGAATCACGGCTTTGAGAGTCAAAAAAACATACACAAACAAAACCAAATTAAACCCTGCGGCTCGTGACGATACATTGATGTGTAAAGACAAGAAACGATCGGTCTGTGCAAGAAACTGAACAGTATTTATATCGTTTTTTACCTCTGATTCACTGCAATGTCAGGCGCAATCTTGAGCGTGTTTGCGTCTTCTTCAGCCGGCACATGACGCGTCTTCTTCTTCTTCTTGCTTTATGGCAGATCGCAGACTTATAAGTGCATTACCGCCACCTATCTCTCAAATGGACCCTTGACACTCTATCTACAATCTCAGTTAGGAGTGTCAATGGTCCATTTGAGAGATAGGTGGCGGTCACGTGCCGGCTGAAGAAGAAGATGCGAACGCGTTCAGGACGCGCTCAGGACAGTTCAGGCATTGCGTGAATCAGAGGTAAAAAACCATATAAATACTGTTCAGTTTCTTGCACAGACCGATCATTTCGTGTCTTTACACATCAATGTATCGTCACGAGCCACAGGGTTTAATTTGGTTTTGTTAGTGTATGCTTTTTTGACTCTCAAAGCCGTGATTCCCGTTCACTTCCATTATATGACTGACAGACTGCAACGGTTTGAGTTAAAAATCGTTGTTTGTGTTCTACTGAAGAAACAAAGTCACCTACATCTTGGATGCCCTGGGGGTAAGCAGATAAACATCAAAATTTCATTTTTGGGTGAACTATCCCTTTAAATACAGAAATATTAAAAATGAAAAACCCTCAATAAAGCAGAAAAATACTGCAGATAAAAACAAACATTTAAGAACTCTCTTTCTCTCTATAAAACATCAACATCGTAGACATCTTTTTTTTTTTGTCTTGTAGTCATTGTCTTACAGCAAACTAATTTACCTAGTTTATGTAATGACATGATTGTAGCCTTGTAGTTTTAAAGTAGCTTCCCCAGTAAAATTGCACTAAATCTTGATTGACTTGATCTCCTTCCCATGATCATGTTAATGACATCTAAAATACCTAATTTTTCCAGGTATTTTAATTACATTCATGCATAGAGATGCACACAAGTGGAAAACATAATCAAGCTGCAGCAAAATAAATGAGTACATGGGTTGGGGTATCTCAAATGATTATGCAATTAAAGATCCGGGGAATTATAACTAGCTTGCACACAAGACAAACATGCCTCTCGCCTCGCAAACAGCAATTTTGCATTTCATCGCTGTGCTCTCATTTAAAGCTAATTTACCAAATTAGTCAGTAATGTCTCTTATTCATTGTGTTACTCTCAGCTCATGTAGTGGATAACAGCAGTATAGCACTGGTGCACCTTTAGCAATCCTCATTTAATGTCAGATTCATTCCGCATTGTACACTCTGCGTTAGGGAATACTTCTGTGGAACAGTTATGAGAGAGAGGATCTGAGAGTATGCACAATAGCACAAATGCATGAGCGTAATTTTTCATGTATTTATCCAGAGATCAGGTCTGTATTACAGTTTGCTCATTTCCAAATCTCTAAAGTCTTCCAAAGCCAAATTTACACTGCAAGGGTGACACATAAGTGCTTCTGAAGCAGCATTTAAAGATGCATTTACACAGACTGTTTAATGCTGCTCAGAGGTGGCATACATGCATTTACAACACAGCAATTGCAACTATACTGTATATGTTGATACTAGGAGATGAGGTGGGTCAGTGCAGGCGTAATTTAGTGTGGCTTTTATGCAGCTTTGCATCTTTACAGCAGGCACAGAGCAGCCCCAACTTGTCAGTTGCCTAATTTACACTGCAATGGTGGCATATATGCATTTACACAGTAATTGCAACTATATACTTTGATATTGAGGAGATTGATATAGGAGATGAGGCGTGTCAGTGTGGGCATAATTTAGTTTGGCCTTTTATGCGGTATTGCATCTTTACACTGAATATTGAGCAGGCACAGATCCACCTTAAATTGTCTGTTGCCTAATTTATACTGCAAAGGTAACAGAAGTGCTTGTGAAGTGGCATTTATGGCATCTTTACATAGCCGAGTTATAGCTTATCTGTGCCTGCTCAAAATTCTGTGTAAAGATGTAATGCCACATAAAAGCCAGACTAAATTAAACCAGCTGTGACCCACCTCAGCCCCTAGAATGAAAGGAAACAGCTGTGTTTGTATCTGTGTAAATGCATTCATGCCACCTCTGAGCAGAATTTAAAAACACCTAAATGCAACAAAAATCACCTTTGTGCCACCTTTGACATTTGTTGTTTTTATACAGACTGTTTAATGCTGTTCAGTGGTGGCATAGATGCATTTACATAAAAATCACAGCTGTATACTTTGAAACTAGGTTGAGGTGGGTCAGAACAGGCACAATTTAGTCTGGCTTTTTATGCAGCATTACATCTTTATACAGATTTTTGAGCAACCATATCATGTCTATACGGGGACTTTGTAAACCGGTGGATTAATGCAAGAATCATCATTTGATTGTGAAGACTAACACTTTGTTGTTGCTTACAGTACAAAGTGTTCTTGGTTCCAATCTGTAAAAATATAATATATATATATATATATATATTTTTTTTTAATTAAAAAAACAAAAATCACAGCTCTACAACAAGAATGTAAATTAGGAGTGAGGACTTCTGTATTTACATTTAGTTTGTGAATTCAGTAAAACAAACAGTGAGCCATGGAAAAATGAGACAGCATGTGTCTGAGAGCTGCATTTGTTTTTCCCGATTAAAATGCAACAACTTTCAGCAAAAGCTTCCCATTCCAGCACCACTAATACATGAGAAAAAGACAAGCTTAAGCAGTTTCATAAAGTGGTGTGGACAAAGAGAACAAACTCTTGCTGAC